TACTACTAACAGAGATACAAAAGTGGGCGGTAGGTATAAAAAGATTGACTACCCCTGATATAGACAGTAGACCAGTGATGGCGAACCTTTTTTTGCTCGCATGCCAAAAGTGGGGGGAGCGCAGGGGGGGCATGTGTGGGTGTGCCGTGCACGAACAACCAGTGCTTCCCCCCATTTTGGGCGGGCTTTTTTCGCCCTCCCCAGGGTCCAGAGGCTTTATAGGAGTCTGGACAGGGCGAAAACAGCCTCCCTCCCCCCTGAGGCCCTCTGGAGGCTTCAGGAGCTTCCCTGAAGTCTCTGGAGTGCGAAAAACTGACCCTACGGGCAAATCGAAAGTTCAGGGACGGATTTCCAGTTTGCTTGTAGGGCCGGTTTTAGCCCTACGGAGCCTTCAGGGGTCTTCAGGAGGCTTCCCTGAAGGCTCCGAAGGGCAAAAAATGATCCTATGAGCAAACTGAAAGTCACTTCCGGCTTGCTCGTAGGGCCGGTTTTAGCCCTCCAGAGCCTTCAGGGAAGCCTCCTGAAGGCTCCGGAGGATGAAAAAGTGACCCTAAGGACAAACCAGACGTCCTGACAAATGGCTCCGTGTGCCACCTGTGGTACAGGTGCCATAGGTCCGCCATTACAGCAGTAGACATAGACAGTCAATACCTATTACAGTGATGGCAAATCTTTTTCTTACAGTGTGCCAAAATAGCATGTGTGCGCCCACTCAATCCTCCCCATCCACCTGCACATGCAGACACAACCCACCCGTGCGCATGCGCACATGACCCCTCCCCAGACCCCAGAGGTTTTCCTGAAGGCTGGGGAAGGTGAAAACGGCTCCCCTGGCTCTCCAGAAGGGCAAAAAACGGAGATGACAGCTGGCATGCCACTAAATATGGCTTCACCATAGGATCACCATCACAGACCTATTACAATGTGTTTCTATGAAGCTTTGGTGTTTTCTCCCCAATCCTTGCAGAAGTTTATTGTAGAAAATAGTTCTTCTGAGTTGCGGACCACTACTTAATCTGTCCAGGCCTGCTACTGGTTGTATAAATCATTCTGGTGACATTACAAGAGTAAGACCAACCGTTGTTGAACCAGGCTTTCCTATTTTGTAGGGTTTAATATTGAAATTAGCAGGATTTTGTATCCCAAAGACATGGTGCAGGGAAGGGGCTAAGATAGTAGATCCGTAACCTGCTTATCTTCCTAACAAAAATTGCATTGCCCCCCAAATCACATTATGTCAACATGATTTGCGTGCTTTGGAGGTTATATATAACCTTTAGAATGCCCAATCAGATTTCATTGGTTTTGGCTCCACATCACATGAATATCCTTGTTTTGAAAGGACAGTCTAGCAAATTGGTGAATAAATTCAATAAATAGATCCTGTAATTTCACCTCTTACACCATATTCTAGAGAACTACACTGTATGTGGGTTTTATAGAAGCTGATCCGAGAAACCTTGATGGATTGTGTAGTTTTGATATCTTGCAGCACACTTGCTATATCCTTGATCTGCCTTAGGTGACTGATGCTGTTATTACTACTTTGATGTGTAAATTTCCTAACTGCTAGGCAACCAATAGTCAAATAGTTATCTGCATAGAAGCGAATACAGCAGCTTTCTCTCAGGACATGCTTAAAATAAGTGCCTATCTGTGCAAAGTGCTTACCATTATTTAAATAAGCAATATTTAAATAATCAAGACAGTAAATCAAGAGGAAATTATTAGAAATGTTTATTAAAACTAAAGGCACAAATCATGAACAAGGCTTGTTATTAAAAATAGGCACAGACAAAAACGTGCACTTCCCTCAATGTTCAGGCACCTGGAAAATGCTGCATGTTTTGCAGCACATTTGGTCACTTAGTTGCCAGAGGATCTTGGGTGTCTGTCCTGGAAACTTACCAAAGAAGTTGCAATCCTTAAGAACTATAACAATATCTCAGCAACCTTTAGCCATCTCAACAAGATCCCCCAACTTTTCCAGATAATGCTTTGAATCCACATCATTTACACCGGGCACTTTTAGTTCTCTTGCTGGGGTACAGATACAGCACCTTCTCCTCTGCTGTGCTTTCAATTTTAATAAAAGAACTTGCCCAACTGGACTTCTCATGCTCCTCACTAGAAGTCGTCTGCTGAAAGGAGAATCATGTGCACTCTAGGCTTATTTCTTTGATCCAATAGATTTTAAGGCTTTGTAGAACTATTTGCATTATGAGCTATACTAAGTGCTTCCCATTCGGATTAAGGTACCAGAGCTCTCTGGCTCCAATCCTCCCTGGTTCTTAGGTTGATAGCAGCAACATTATCTGGGGTGGATATGGTCACCATGTTCAGAATCAAGGTAACTTGTTAGAAGGAAGAGGGCAGGGTGGATGGGTTTTCTTATAATAGGCTTCTGGTGCAACAGGCATTCTTGTTCATACATGTACCTGATTCTCCAAAAATCATTTTAATCACAACAGCAGCAAATGATCTCAGATCTTTATTCTTAAGTGCTTGGAAATTCTTACTAAACATCTGGAGGTCACCATTCTAATCAGTTACAGAATATTCAAGTCCGCTGTGCAAGACCAACTTGCATAAATCATGCTCTTCTCATGGGTTGCCTGCAACATAGCTCTCCATTCCATCCTTAATTCAAGTTGTTTCTCTTTTAAAAAAAATCTAGATTGCTTTTCTCAGACTGAAGCTTTTGACCATTGGCCATTTTCTCAGCTATCAATGGTGCTGATCAGTTTATTTAGGATCTTCCAATCCACCGCTTTAAATAGAGGGGCTGGAGTTCCTTAAATAGCATGAAGATTGTCCTTCTTTCAAACAGCATCCTGATATCTTAGCCAGGAGGGTTACCTACACTGAGGTAAAGTAAGAAGGCATGAGATGTAAAGATCATGACTTGAAAAATTATGGAATAGCTTTCTGTTGCAGGTGATGCTGAAGTTGAAGGATGAAAACAATAAACAGAATGTAGAAGTGAAAACTGAGATTATCAGGGAAGATAGTGGCCATTTTATCTGTTGAATTGGGGGAAACTTGAAAGGTCCATAGGAAGTTGTTATGCAATCATGCATAATTTTGCCCCCAATCCCAAGCAGGCAGAAGAGGATTCAAATTCTGACTTATTATGGAAGTACTGTTCAGCTTATTGAATCATAATGTACTGCATTTTGCTGAAGCCTCTTCAGGGACTTTTGCAGGACAACATTGTAGTAACAATTATGGGGAGTTTGTCATTCTACCATGGATAATTATGCTGTATTCCTTACATTCTAGGTAACTATCAAAAAGGAAATAATTCAAGAATTATCTAAAATGTAAAGAATACAGTATGGTTAATTGCTTTGATATATCCAAAAACTGGGCCCTGGCATCATAATATTTTCCCCCAACCAGTAAATAGAACATCAATTCAGGAAAGTATTGGAATATTCCAGTAGACAAATATCAACACAGTCTTTAGAGAATCTTTTCCCTTATTTTCTAGCAAGACCTTTTTTTTCTGAAGGGGGGAGGTGCTGGTACCCTACACTAGGTAAGCTAAAGAGAAAAATATCAGGCACATTACAGCGACTTTTGTATGAGCTGCATCAAAAAGAGGTTGGCCAAAACAGCACCTGTCTTCCCTTGTAAAAGCAAGATGTGCTCAGAATGGATATATCAAAAGATATAAATCTATCAATGAGTCCTTTGGAACAGATTGTCACTCTGTTTGCTGCAGAGGGAGATATCCACATTACAAAAAGATAAATGTGTCAATAAAGGTAAGATGACCTATGTACAGAAATGCCATCCAGATTTGTAACCCTGGTGCTCTGTAGATAAATTGAATGAAAACTGCGACCAGCCCCAGCCAACTTGGCTAACGTTTAATATTATAGGAAATCCAGAAGGCATCCAGATAAGGCTCACTTCGAAGATCAGTAATGAATGTGAGTATGATCAAATTGCTCTCTTGTTTGTATCTGAAACCAGAAATAAGGTCTACCTTGGTTACAGAAAAACATGTTTTGCCAGCTATTATTCTGAAGTTGTGCAGTCTAAGAGAACACGGCATTAACTTTCTTGAGGACAGTCTAGTTGCAAATGTCCAACGTGGAAAATGTGATGTTGAGAGAGAGTTATCTGTTTCTCCTTATGCAGAGCCTAGCAACACAGGGATAATTTTTAACTTGATTCAGCTTAGGAACCGGCAACCTGAGAAAGAGTTGAAAGGTGAGGAGAGAGGACGGGAATCACGGTATGTTTATAAAACCACCTGTTGCCTGATGAATTTTGATTTGAGGAAGCATATTTATATGTGTTAACCTGAAAGACCAGTTAAGAGATGCTTTTGTTCAGGGTTTGTCCCCCCCCCCCCAAAAAAAGCTCCAATGAAATTTAAATTATTTGGGACTAGGTGTCAGAACGCTTTACATTAGTAATTCTCTCATCTGTTAAGAACACTATGCACAACCCCCATCCAAAGCCATACACCAAGTCATGGTTACCTTTCCATCCATAAAGCAAAATACACTCCTAACATGTAGGAGCACACTTTGGTGAGTTCCAGTAAATAATACTTAAAGGACTATGAAGGCACCTCAGGGACAGCACCAATTACTGCTTTGTGATGCACTAGGAACAACTCCTAGTCAAGCTAATGGCATCCTTACCTGCTGCTAAAGCCCCATTCCTTCAACTAAAGCTACTTCTCAAAATGGATAAACCTCAAATAAAACCATTCCTTCCACAAACTCTTATCCTAGCACAGTGTGTGTTTCCCTCCCCCACCCTCCCTTTCAACATATCAAAATATTTCTCTACAGCAGTGTTTCTCAATCTCAGCAACTTTAAGATGCGTGGACTTCAATTCCCAGCATTGAATGGCTGAGGAATTCTGGGAGTTAAAAGTCTGCACACCTTAAAATGAATGAAGTAGAGAAATACTGTTCTACAAGATGAACCTGCTGTCCATCCTCTATGAATAAATAGCATTTCAGTTCACTTGTCTTGACCAGTCATACTCTCTCAACATATTGATGAGACATTGAATCTCTTCACCATTCAAGGCTCTCTGACTACAACCTACTTGTTCCCTGGTCCTCTGCTGCCATTTGCTAGGTCAGCAATTCTAATCGGATACTTAAAAGGTCTCTTTCCACATACCTGGACGTGTTGAGTTCATGCACCCATATTTCTCTCTGTCACTATCCTTTATCTTCCAGGAACACTGGATGGAGCCACATAAATAATAAATAAATAATATGAATCCATGATTTCTGGACGCACCTTATGCTTAGCATGGGGATTGGGATAATAAAGAGAAAGAGTCAGTGTTTTTCCCTTCACTTTACAGGAAAGGGGCAAACAAAGGCATTGGTTGGTTGCTGTCTCACAATAATGTGTAGGGTTAACCTCCCTTACGATTATGGAGAATAGCCAGCAACTCTCCCTTTCCTCCTGCTGAAGCAAAAACGTTCCAGTAACTTCATTTCCTACGACAAGCAGTATCCCCTCTGCCTTGCTGGCTGTCTGCTCTAAACCTAAAGACAGCTGAGCAGACTGAGCACCTCACTATGAAAAAAAAAATCATTATAATAAAAACCCATCACATCCCCAGATAGATATAGATGTATTCTACCAGGGAACGGAATTTCCACAAAATAATATCCATAGTGGGTGGTGAGGAACACCCAAAATAAATAAATAATCTGTACAGGACCCTCCTTAAAGCTTTATGGCGAGGCTTATGAGGAAAAAGAAAAATAAATGTTTGCATCGGCATCCAGAAACAATTCACCCCACCATTCTTGGTGCCTCATATTTGAAAGCCAGTTTCTCCTTTTCAACCAGGGCATTTTTTTTTAAAAAGAGCAATTTTTTTTTAAAATGCCCACTTTTCTAACATATCCAATTACCCATTACCTTTCACTAGTTTGAGCAGCATATTTAACAAAAGGCTCCCATTGTATCACCCATGCTATCCATCCAGTTGGTTTTCTTTCTTCTACTTGACCATTGTTTAACTACTGAGTTGCAAATCTCTGGTTCATCATTTGCCAGCATACAGAATTTCCCAGTCCTAGGTAAAGGTAAAAATGCCAGCCAAACAGAAAGAGATAGACTGCAAGAGGACAGATCAATGACTGTTCTGAGAAGTACCATTCTGGTCACCTTCTCCCACCGCTGCCTGGCAGAAAGGTGTCCCTCACAATAATGTGCTCAGTGCTTCTGCCATACAACCAAAACAGGAATGGAGGGGCCCCCTCTTCTAAGGATAGCTTCTGACCATCGTGTTTTTCTAAGCCAAGACTGAGAAATTGCTCACAACATAGAAAATTAAGAACCTGATAAAAATAGGGGGCCTGCCCACAGCCAAGTATTATCTAAAGTGAAATTCAGGGAAAGGAGTGGTTCAACAAGAATAACTAGGCTGCTGCAACAGCATCTCTAAAGCTATCCCTATAGATTCCAAACATGGCACCAGAGAATCAAGGTGACCCTACTCCCTATTCCTAAGTATTATTACTACTCTGGGCCTGGGCACAGCAGGCTTGAGGTGATGCCTGCTGTCTCTCAATCAGCTCACAAAAACAAGCTTGCAACATTCACAGCAGCAATTAGCTTCACAGCCATCTCCCTCAATTACAGGGAGATGGCCAGCAAAAGGCAGCAACCCTTCCAGGAGCTGAGTGCTCTCACTGTCATTGATGCCAGACCACATTCTGCCATTTTTCTTCCCTGGCATCTGATTTACAGCACACTGGCCCTGAAGATGACAACTAGCCCTGGAATTAGGTTCAGATGTCAGCTGCAAGAAGATCCCCCCATGGTGGGGTAGAGTTGACCAGGTGGCGCTCCTCTTTCCCCAATCCGAGGATATTCAGAAATCCAAGGAGGTGAAATCTCCAAAGTCACAGTCAAAGAGCTCACTGATGCCTTCACCCTCCTCGAGGCCAAAATGATAGTCCTGAGTCTGGGGTGGTGAAAGTGCAATGAATTCAGAGGGCAGAAAACTTGAGAAGTCATCCTTGCCCTGCAGAAGCAAGGCATCCACGGAAGCCAGTGGTGAGAGGTTTACATCATCCCCGGGACACTTCAAAGGCAGTGTAGTCTCTCCAGATAACAAAGGTTCTGCCAAGAGATAATGGAGAGACTTAGTAACCAGCATAATAGATATACCAGTACCTTTAAACCCAAGTGAATATCTCAAATAAAGCCTTGTCTGTACACAAAAACAAAAGTTGCTTAATCTTCCAATTATATAAAATTTCTTCCAAAATTGTATAAATGATTTTCATGGCTCAGCTGCAACTACAAAAATATCTGATTTGGTCTCTATCACAAATTAGGAATAAATTACATATAATTTGAAACAAAATGTAAAAACATTTTCTTAGAAGAACTCCCAAGACTTGGTACAGAAATGTACCAAGAAATGCATTGCCTTTCTTTCTTATTTGTAGTTTTCCCCCACAAAGCCTTTCTATGTAGAGCCTTTGTAGAAGTATGTTAGCAAAAACACAACTTTTGTAACCTTTCTCAATGCTTCTCCATCCCACTAGATTGGTATTATAGTTATCTTTTAGTCAAAGTAGTATGTCTTATGAATTGAAAATGTCAGCCTGAATAATACTTCAAGCATTTAAGTTTCCCCTCTTATCGTATCCTATGTGGTTTCTTGTATATCATCTCCCCTAATGCCATCTGTTTCCATGCCTCCTCTCTTTATTCCACATCTTTGCCAAAAAGATTCAAGTGCAGAACCAACAATGGAAGACCAACAACAACTTGCATTCATATTGCAAAAGGATGTATTTGCTTTAGAGCCAGGGTATTTGAAAATCTAGTTTGCTCTTTGCTCATAATTTAAGATCAGATGTGGAAGCCTTTCTGTATCTAGTGTATTTTGTATATTGCAAATGCTATGAAATAAAAACACAGAATAGAATGTCCTCCCTTATGGCATTTTGATACCGGAATTCCTCTTTCTTAAGATAAAAATGGGCATGATTCTTCAAACTAGGGCCATAATTTACATTTAGAACTGCTACGGAGCAAAATTATTTGCTTTGGAAGTTGGACAGATTTGAAGGCTGAATTTGTTTTGCCTAACAGAGGCTTAGCACAGTCATTTCCAGCTCAATTTTGGCAGTATAATCTCAGCCTGAACAAAACTATGCCAGCAAATTTGAAGAATGAGAGTAACAACAGATTGAAAGGGATCAGTCTAAATATCAATAACAACAAAAATGAGACTTAGCAGAGTCCACAAACTACTGGACAATATCCCTAATTTCATATCCTAGCAAAATAACACTGAAGATCATCCCATTGTATATTAGAACAAGATATGAAAAGGGAGATACCAGTCATTTAAGATGGTTTTAGGAAAACAAATAGAGAACAAGAGATATTATTTTGGATGCATATTGCATAACTAAACCCACCATCCTGGGCCCAACGTTTGGGAAGTCAGTCTCTGCCTGTCATAAGCCAGGACAAAGAGTGAGTGATGGAGGAGTAACACCTCCTTAAAAAACCTTGGTCCAGCTGGCCCGGCTGGTAGTACCTCGTAAGGGCCCCTTTCCAGGGTTGCAGCAGAAGACAGTCAATGGTTTTGAAAGTGGAAAAAGGTTTTACGCCCCAATGGCAGATGAAGCGGCAGAACCATCTTCTAGGAAAGCGGTTGTCAACCTGTGGGTCGCGACCCCTTTGAGGTCACAGAGGTTGCCTAAGACATGGGCGCACGCTGCCCTCTTCTCTCTGACAGCTGCGTTTTTCCCTGGGGGGCTCCGCAGAACATCCCAAGAC